AATTTCTATTTTTATGCAGTATCTTTTTTCCACCCCTTCACTTTTAGTCTATGTATGTCTTTATCCATGAGGCATATTTCTTGTAGACAGCAAATAGAGGGTTTTTTTTTTTTAATCATTCAGCCAGTTTGTGTCTTTTCATTGGAGAATTTTATCCACTAACATTCAATATTATTATTGATATTTGTGGATTTGTCCCTACCATTTTGTTGGTCATTTTCTTAGTTGTTTTTTTTGTTTCTTATTTCTGTGTTTCTCTTTAGTTTTCATGATATAATACTCCCTTCAAAACTTCTTGAAGAGATGGTCTAGTATTGGTGAATTCTTTCAGTTTTTATCAGTGAATGATTTTATTTGTTCTTCCCATTTGAAGGATAATCTTGCCAGATAAAGTATTTTTGGTTGAAATAGTTTATCTTTTAGTATTTTGAATATGTCTTCCCATTCTTTTCTTACATGCACTGTTTTAGTTTCGAGGTCTGAAGTTAGCCTAATAGAATAACCTTTGTGAGTGACTTGACATTTCTTTCTTGCCATTTTTAGAATCTTGTCTGTGACTTTTGACATTCTAGCTATGATGTGCCATGGAGAGGATTTTTTTGTGTTGCCTCTGTTTGTGGTCCTTTATATTTCTTGGGTCTGGATGGTTGAATACTCTATGTTCAGGAAATGTTCTGCAAGTATTTCATGGAATAGATCTTCTATGTCTTTGTCCAATTCTTCACCTTCTGGAATATCTACCATTTGGATATTTGGGCATTTTATAGTGTCTAGTATTTTCCATATGTTGTCTTCATCTTGTTCATTATTTTTTTGTTATTTTTGGTGGCTTTATCTAAGTCAAAGGTTTTGTCTTCTAGCTCAGAGATTCTGTCTTCTGTATGGTCCAGTCTACTATTAATACTTTCGAGGGAGGTCTTGATTTCCTGTATTAATGTCTTCATTTCTAGAAGTTCTGATTTTTTTTTTTTTTAATGATGTCTATCTCCTCCTTCAAATCCTGAGAAGACTTCCTCATCTGTCACCAGGAATGTTGTGAACTCTATTTCTGACATTCCTGCAAATTTCCTACTTCTCAGATGTGTTCTTGGTAGAGGGCCTTGTCTTCCAATCATAGAAATGTGTATACAGCCACCTTTAGGTATTGATTCCTTTCCCAGTCTCTTGAGACCAGGTGCTCCTAGAACTGAACTGTCAAGTTTCACATTGGAGAGGGAATAAGGAATCTTGCCACTATCTATGGATGCTATATGCACTGCACAGTTCAGAAAACTATGAAATCTCATATATTTCTGGATGGGCAGAAGGCAGCTAGAGATTTGAGGGTCTTTCTACTTCAGCTGGCCTCACTGACTACTGCTGCTCCCTAATCCACAGTGTAGGCCCCAGGGGTAATGGCAGTGAAGGGGATCCAGTTGGGATGTACCTGACTTGGCTGGAAGACAGTGGGAAGCCTGAGTGGTCTTCTGCCTTAAGTGGCCCCACTGACTGCTGCTGCTCCCTGATCCACAGCATGGGCTCTGGGGGTAATGGCAGCGAAAAGTTTTCTGAACTGTTTTTTATAAAGGCTTGTTTTTGTTTTCTAGCAGCTCCTAATTCTTTTTGAAAAATCTATTTATTTAATTTTTTTATTTATTATTATTATTTTAAATTTGCCTTAGGACATGTGTGCTCACTAGAGAGAGATGAAAGAGAGAGAAATAGAGGGAAAGTGAGAAAGCAAGCTGCTAGGGGTCTAAGACTCAAACTGTGGCTGGGCATATGGGAGCTCAGCTCCTTAACTACTATACCACCTGCTGGCCCTGCTCTTAATTCTTTTAAAAACAAGGATTAAGAAAGTGGAATTAGTTTATAAACTATTTATTTATTTATTTAATTTATTTACTGTCAGAGGCACATGCATTCACCAAAGAAAAAAGGAGAGAGAAAAAGTGAGACCACTTCTCTAACGGTGTGCGTTTATACTACAATGCTTATTCTCCCATTCTCCATTTTTATAGAACTTTGGACACACATGCACATGTTCCCAGCATATTTTACAAGTCACTAGGTCCAAGATTGAAACCACAGTTGGGCCATGAGGGATTGAGCAGTCTGTACTGTGCCATAGGACCCACCCCCACCCTTAAAGTTTTAAAAGCCATAAAATTCAAATCCCATATATTCAAAATGGAAAATATATCCTGAAATATACAAAAATAGAGTGAAATAATAATTTAACTTTCTGTTTTATTTTGGCAAAAGTAATTGCAAAGCAGCGTATCAACCACTAAACAATCAATAGATACATGCCAAATTAAATTAACTTTCATCTTTAAAGTTCTTCCTGACATCTAACATGTTTTTCATTTCTATTTAGAAGCAGTCATGTCTAAAGGTCCCGTGATGATATAATTAGCAAAAAACTAAAAAAGCTGATATGGTTTACATCAATTTTTAAAATGGCAGAAGTACAGAAAATAACCGTTGGCATGAGCATGTAAATGTGGAAAGAAAAGGAACCTAAAATGAATTGTATGTATGTTTATAGAAACAAACATATTGCCTTTATTAGAAATCTAAATAAAAATATTTAGTCTTGATTCAGTGTCTAACTTATTTTCATCCTGTTTAAGCAAGATTGTACTCAGAAACTGCTAGTAACCTCAAAACCTTACATTTAGTTCATTTAGAATAAAAGGTCTACAATGCAGCTCTAATAACATATCATTCATATATATGTGTGTGTATGTGTGTGTATTATATATAGGGTCATCAGAAAAGCCATGATGCACTTTTGCATAGGAAAACATGGAAAAAAACATGTCATGACTTTTCCAAGACCCAATAATACATGCAACTCAACTAATAATACTTCTTGCTTTTCACACTTGAAATCTTTATCAGATAAAACAATTAAACAAAAAGTTCCATGAGGATATATACTGTCTCTATTTTCTACTCCCAAGCATTGAATCCTCAGTACTCAATATTATGCCTCACATATAACTGATACCCATTACTTACTTGTTTACTGATTAAATGAAGTACAGAGGTTTCTGAATATCCCAAATTGCTTATAATTTTATTTCTTCCCCTATTAATCTACAGGAATAGTTTGGCTATTTTACGTTTGTTAATTGGAAATATGTAAAAGAGATCATACTATGCCTTGAATTCCATGAGCTCTATCAAGGGGCAATAAGCTAGTGAATAATTTCAGATAATAAACACAAACCAGTGAAAGTTGTGTGCACAGTGAGTTTTGAATTTTGAATTTATAGTTCACTTATAGGGATACATTTTGAGAAATGCCTCCTTAGGCAATTTCACTGGTGTGTGAACATCATAGAGTGTACTTACACAAACCTAGATGTGATAGTCTACCACACACCTAGGTGTATGGTATATACTATACGGTCCTTACAGGACCACTATTATATATGTGGTCTATTGATTCAGGAAAGTACAGGCTAATTATGGAAAAAATAAAAAAACTAATGGCAAACACAAAATAATCCCACTGTTAAGTACAATAATTAGTTTTATTTTAGAATCTCTAAAATTTCTACCCTCAGGCTGACAGTCCCATGAAGGCATAAATTATACGCCATCCTTTGCATCTTCACTGTCTATTACAGATTCTAAAACCTTTTTCTCTCGGGACCCCTCGACACTTTCAAAAATTCTTGAGAACTTCAAGAGTTTGGGCTGCACATTTTGTTGATATAGATTTTATCTTTCATATTCAAAATTTAAACTAGAGAAATTTTAAAATACTCAATAATTCATTTTAAAATAACACAAGTCCAGTATGTGATAACATAGATAATACGTTTTTTCCTTAAAAAAATTTTTTTAAAAAAATGTTTTTCCATGAGTGAGAGACAGAGATAGAGACGGAGATGGAGACAGCCTCAGCCAGCCTGGATATGGGCATACAATATGCCCAGTGTGTTCAGGGAGGTCTCTGAATGTAAAACCTGAAACTTTATTTACCATGTGGGCCTAGATGAGATCACAATTTACCACTGTACCACTACCCAGTTAGCCTGACTACCATATTCTATGTGAAACATCGTTGTATTTTCTAAACAGAAAATCTTGAGAGGGCATTATTTTCAGGTTTTGCAAATCTGTTTGATGTCTGCCTTGACTGAAACATTAGCTTTTCATTAGCTTCTTCATTCGTTTACCTCTGACATGTTATTTTAAAGGAAGGATATGAAGAAAATCCAGCCTCAGACAGATGTAGAATTAGAGAAGGGACCTTGTGGATCCCTACAAAGGGCCTTAAGGAACTCTCAGGGGTCCTCACTCTACACTTTGAAAGCCACTAGACTGCCATATGGACATTGATCAACAACTGATAAATTAACAAAAATTTAGAAGAAAAATTAATGCAATATACAATATTTACAATTGACTTATATGCACAAATGACCTGGTAATATTCTTTATAAATGCTCATTGTTTTCCTATAAATTAATGTTAATGATTCCAACTTCTCATTACAATAATATTGGGGTATAGACTGATGGACAGTAGTCTGAACCAAAGAGTGAAATGCAGTATAAATAAAGTAAATAATGCCAAAATTTACTAGAAATAAACAGATAACTAAGAGAGTCATTTTACTTTAAAAAGTACCAAGCATAACCAAATGAAGTTGCTAATTTGAATGTTATATGGATCTCTTTAAAGCAGTAAATTAGATTGAAACACTTTATTGAAAACAAGCTGGATCTTAATATTTTTAGTATCCTACATGTCATTTCTAATTAATTTATTAAAAAACACAAGGAAAAACTTTTGCTTATATTTTTAGTTTTTCTACTGTAAATATTAATAGGTCTTAAGTAAATACCAAGAGAAAATATAGTTAAACATTTTTTAATTTCCCAAATCATAATTTTTGTTCTTAAATATAATTAATTCACAAATTAAAATATGCTTTTGAAGATTATAAATTAGATTTTCTGAAATCATGCCATGCTGTGGTAATGCATAAAATGACTTACTTTTCCTTTTCTTGCAGTTGAGATTCCTGAGGAGCAATTTTAGGTTCTGTCCCAAGATTTTTTAGCATTCGCTGCCTCCTCTTTCTACTTGGTGCAATATCGATGACATCAGGACTTGAAATAATGGAATCTTCTTTTCTTTCCGTGGCTAGAAGGAGATCAGAAAGTAACTCAACAAGCTTATCTATATAATTGGTGAGTACAGTTATCAACTTGCTGCTTCGGTATTGACATAACAACTAACAAGACAGCAAAACTACTTCCTCAAACCTCTACACAGATTTGGTGAAGCAAGCCAGTTATATGGTTTATCACGCTTTACTGCCAACAGAAAATATTATGTATATTGCACATAGGGAATAATTTATTCAGAATGGTCTTTATCTGTGCTAGTCAACAAACAACCCTTTCAAATGCATTGTTAGCATAATTTAATCTCTCAGTGCTAGAACAAAATAGAGGCATTGAGGACCTACAAAAGGTGCATGGGAGAAAACAAAACAAAACAAAACAGGACAAAACCAACAACAAAACCTGCTATAGGAATGTTATGAACCAAGTTAATATTATACAGTAATCACCAACAGGAATGGGGACTTCTGTTAGTGACTCAGAGAGTAAAGAATAAATACAAGATAAATGTAAGATAGTAATAACAGATGTCTCTAATGTAGTTAAGCCCTTAATGCATTAAAGTGTTTGATACACATAAAACAGAAGCAACATACTTGATTTACATCCTTTTATTCACTATTAAAAACTTAGTTTCTGGGACTAGCAGTTGGTGTAATGGCTATGTCACTGGACTCCCATGTAGTCGACCGCAGTTCAAGTCCCAGACCCAGTGGCTTAAACTCACACCGGACGCATGTGCGTGCGTATCCAAGATCCTGAGACTAGAATGGAGGGGAAGGGATTGTGGCGTGGCCATCCCCTCTGGGGGGGGGGTGATTTCTTGCTTTCTGTCTCTCTGACTCTGCCTTTCTAGCAAGTGCACTTGCCCTATAGCAAAAAACTCTCAAAAAACAAAATGAAACAAAACAAAACAAAACAAAACAAAAACTTAGTTCCAAAGAGCTTAAGGGGAGTTTAGAATATCAATTCATCCATTCATTCATTCATCCAATACACAATATAATCCCCTATGTAATACTTGTTCTGTAAAATAAAAGGGACCCTTTTTTATTGGTAAATAAAGCCATGATATCTCTATTATTAGGACTTTAGAATATTCTATTTGTTCGTAAACTTTTTTTGTAGCACATAACATTTAAAAGTAACCAGAGACCAGGTTTCATCTCATTTAAAGAAAAAACCTCAGCAATGAAAAAAAATCTCATGAGAGGAGATAGATGGCTGAAAATACTTAAAAAAAATAAATTCCTTTAATAACAAGAATGTCTATAATCAAAAGAACAAAAGTGCTGGAGAGAAAACAGAACCCTCATGTACTGTTAATGTGAATGTAAATTAGTATAGCCATCATGTAAAATTATATAGAGGTTCCTCAAAAATCGAAAGATAGAACTACCATATGACTCAGTAATCCCACTATTTCATATATACATATATTCAAAGGACAGGAAATCACTCTGTCCAATGAGACATTTGCGCATTCATATTTATTGCAACATTATTCACAATATTAAACCATGCAATCAACCTAAGTGCCCACTAAATGATGAATGGATTTGGTAAATGTGGCATATATACACAATGGAATATGACTCAGCCATAACGTACAAGAAAATCCTGTCATTTGACACAGAGTGGATGAACCTGGAAGTTATACTGCTAAGTGAAACAAGCCAGGCTATGAAAGACAAATACTATATGTACCGTCCCAAAATATTCTGAATGTCTACACTCTAAAACAGAAACTGATGGTCTTGAAAGCATAGAAATAGAGAGTAATGGTAGCTATTAGAATTTGCATGAAGAGGGGAGATCATGTGGGAAAAAAATAATGACATAAGAATGCATGTAAATAAGGAGAAGACATTACAGAATAGTGTACTACAACAGAGTGAAAAATATTGACAATTTAATACTCGCATAAAAGAAAAATTACTAGGACTATTATCAAATGTGCACAACATAACATAATGTTCAATAGTGAAGAAGATGAATGTTTATATCCTTGATTTGATTAGTATACACTGTATGTATGCTTTGAAAAACCACTGCTGTACTCCACAATGATATATACTGTATATACATAAACCACTGATCATAATAAACTATTGTAATGTAACTAAATATGTGTTAGGATGACCTATAACATAAGTGTTTCTAGCATCTAATCAAGAATACACAGATCAGGAGCAATTTAATGTTATAAAACACCCATACTGCTGATGGCTACTACAGGCAGTTTGTTACTCATATTTCTTTCTTTTTTAAGAGGTTTTTTGCTTTAGGGAGTATGTGCTTGTTGGAGAGAGACAGAGACAGTGAGAGGGAAAATGAAAAATTATCCCAGGGAGATGGCCATGCTGCAGTTGGTCCTCTGCCATTCTCCTCTTGGGATGTTGGGCATGCACACATCAGCACCTGGTGTGGTTTTCAAGCTTCTTGGTCTGGGACCCAAACAGTGGTCAGCCATGTGGGAGTCCAGTAACATTACACTATGCCATTTGCTAGCACCTGTTCTCATATTTCAATAAAAAATGAGAATTTACTAACTAGTATATTGAATGACAAAAATGTGTATTTATTGATAAAAGCAAGGCAAATAAACTAGCTTGATAAATACTGAATATGGGATCATGAGTGAAACTAATGGTACTGAGATAAACAGATGGATTAAAATATTTCAGATACTTGTCATTATTTTATGAATACGTTACAAAATCTAAAGAGGCCTACTTAGTCTTAAAGATGATGCCGTATGTTAAAGTCTTTATATCTTCTGTATCCAGCTCTGAATTCTAGACAACTGATTTTGTTTGATACCAGGGGGAAAAAAAATAATCATTCCTG